AAATCGACTGGACAAATGCGCAGTGATAAATTATTAAATACTTCTCTCGAGTTGACAGACAATAAATGATATATATTTTTCTCAGTTTAGTTAAATAAAAAATGACAGTCACAATAAAAATGTCACATTTCCAACGATAGATTGTAATTTTACCTCGGTCACATAACGGTCATATGACAAGTCTCCCCAGTTCGTCAGATCTGACTCAATTTTTTTCCAGAAAAACTTGACCGACGCCATTTGTATGGAATTTTGACGCGAATGTTCGATAAATTTTTAAACTCTTGTGGCATTCTCGGAATTTTTTCCAACTCAATCAGGGAATAAAATTGCACCATGAAATAAAACTCTAAATTAATAAACAAAAAACCGACAACAAAATTCCGAGAATTTATTTTTTCCGAGCGGTTATTCCGAGATAATCTCGTGATTTTACGAACGAACTAGCGTAAACAATTATTAATAAATTGTTAATTAAAAGGCTCTTGATCCTACGTGACATCGAATGATGCAATTCCATTCGGCTGACGTTGGGCTTGTAAAAATAATTAGGACTCTGAACGCTTTGAAGATGCCCTACCCCATGTCCCCCTCAAAGATATCGCATTAAATTGTTATTAATTATTTAAACAACAGAATAAACTCAACACCCCATTACAAATTCTCCATTACACATATTCCTTAATTTCTTTCAAACCCAGACAATTGCAGCTAGATTGCTGTATGAATGATCAAATGATAACGCTGACACAAAAATAAACAATTAATATAAATAAAATGCGCAAATAAGTAACGGCTTTAAAAATTTCGCCTGTTATTCTCACACACAGATGCAACTGTTTTGTTTTTTATAATAATAATTTGAATAAAACATACAGGACTAGAGTGGCTTGCACTCACGTATGAACAATAACAAAAAAAATGTATTGTAAAACACGTAATCTATGGATCAGTTAAAACATTCAAATAATGCACTAGGAATTAAACATAAAAACACGCCGTCTATTCTATGAAATGATAGAAACAGAAAAAAAAAATCTCACAGAACCCCAAAAAAACTTACTGAATCTTCTCATAAGATTTCCAGCGAAAGACTCGGATGTATTGTCATCATTTTTTTGATTATTCATTATAGTCTCGTGCTTCTGACTTTTAGAATTTGGCACGGATAGCAAACGTGCTTTTGAGTGTCTAGTCTTGACGATTCTCTTCATATCCATCAATTTGTCATCATTTTCAAAGAGGGGCAAATCAGCTGGACGCACTGCTCTTGTTGAATCATTGATTTTTCCTTCGTCCTGATTATCATCCTCATCAACTCCTTCGGCACTCAATATCGATTCGAGTGGACGTTTCTCTAGGTATGGGGATCGTGCTAGCACTGGACTTTTTACACATAATGTTGGATCCTGATCAACTGATTCGGGTGATGCTGAATCGGATTCGTTTGGACTGCAGTAAAACGTTGATGACTGTTTTGCACTTGTGCTTGCCTGTCGATAATCGACAGTTTTCGTTCAATAAGTTGGTGTTAGACAACAGTTTTTCAATATTTTACTGGTCAATATATTTTTTCAAGTTCATCAAATAAAACTCCAAAACTCTGCGCAATTTTAAAATCAAATTAACTCTCCCAAATCCCCGGACTCCGTAAACACTTCGAAAAAAATGAATAATCTTTTTCTCTGAATAACCAAAAAAAATCAATCAAGTGACGAAGCATAAAAGGACTACTATGACCTTAAAAAAAAGTTAAACTTTTAATTTAAGTACCCCATTATGCGATGCTGAGGACGAAGGTGTAAATGTGCTCTTTATCTTGAGATCAACTTTGCTGAGTTGTCTTTTGAGACTGAACCCCTTCTTTCCTGTGATAGCACTCATTGGTTTTCTCACGTCTTTGATGTCTCTCGCATTATCCTCTTGATTCTCTTTATTATCGCTATTTACACTGTGACAATCCTGAGTCTGTGAATTTTGGTGCATCTGGTGTTGATTGTTGTGCTGAATTTTATCGCCTTGCGGTACTAAATACTCGCTATCAGTCGTCTCTCGTTGGTTCTGGATAGGCTGATTATTTTTGGGTGCATACAGTCAATCAGTTCTGTTATTACTATTCATGTCAATTGATTCATTCAATTGATTTCATTTTTGACTATTTTAGTTTGTGATTTATCGATCAATTAATGAATCCTGGGGCGTTTCTAGTTTTTCTTTCTATTTTTCACTTGAGAAATATCGCAAACACTTGGTCACTTGTCACTTCCCAATTTCTCTCGTTAATTAAGCATTTTCAAAGAAGAGTGCAGACAATTTTTCGTTTAATTTCAGTAATTGGTGACCTAAAAAATCTCTTCAATCGATTCACCGAGGGTGTCTACTCCACTTTTATTCTATTTACTACGTATTTATTTTTGCCTCGAACACTGCTTAATTAATATAGATTTATTGAACCGTGTGACAATTAAAACTCTATAATAACTGCCACCGAATTAATTCCGCAGATGTTAAATCCAAGTGTTAAAATTCAGTAAATGGCGTATGGTATTTCCTAAATGCAGAATACAGTCAACAAGATTGGATCGGTATTGAGATTCTAGATAACATACAGAAAAGATGGATTTTATCATGCAACATTGATGCTAATTTAACTATTTTTAATTAATCAAAAAAGCATTTAGAACTTTTACAATTTATGGAG